CCCAAACCTCTCACACCTTCTCCCTGCTGCCCAACTGCGTCAACTCGCCCGAGATTGGCTGCAAGAAGATGGTCCCAGCTTTGACTATGGTGGCTACGCCGTGGGCAACCATCAGGTGTGTGCTATGCTCTTCTGTAAATCCCCCGGAGTCTTGGCTTGTTTCCCTTTCTTTGATGCCATCTTTGCCGAAGTCGGCTGCTCGGTGGAATGGCTCCAAACCGAAGGAACCTGGGTTGAACCTGTCACCCGAGTGGCTGAAGTCCATGGTCGTGCCAATGACCTCTTGCTGGGTGAGCGAGTGGCTCTGAACTGTCTGGGACGCTGCAGTGGTGTTGCCACATCAGCAGCAAAAGCTTGTCGGGCAGCACAGGAAGCCGGGTGGCATGGAGAGGTCGCTGGGACAAGGAAGACCACCCCGGGGTTCCGTCTCCCAGAAAAATATGCACTTCTGGTCGGGGGAGCCTCCTGTCACCATTACGATCTAGGAAGCCTCATCATGTTGAAGGACAACCATATCTGGGCATCTGGCAGTATTACCCAAGTGAGTACACAAAAGCAAAGGTATTCATATCATACAATGATTGTGATCAAGGCTGCAATCTTCTAAATGATTGCTAAAGGGCAGCAGAGAATAAGGGTTTTCCATATCTCTCTGCTGCCCCCAGTGGTTGATCTGAGTGTTGCAGTCCAGCTTTGGAAGCTATACAAATCAGCCTTTAAAAGAAATGCCTAAATCCAATATAGACTCAGTAAAAAAAAAAAGTAACCTTAACTGCTCTGCATTATTCATTAAATTGGTGTTGGTCTTAAAATTAGCACTGATTATAATCTTTAGATAATATTTAGTTTTGTACTACTGCATGTGCTACATGATAATGTAGTGACAAGGGGACGTACTGTATGTCTCAATTTTATTAACCATCACTTGTTATCTAGATTGAAAATTATATTGAGCTATAAACTATAGTTTACAAACAACAGTGGACAGATTCAGAATCATTTTAGCTTTTTTGACCTGGCAGGACCTTTTTGCTGTTATAACTGACTGTTTTTATATTTTATTAATAATTTCATTTAAATTGTTGCAAACTGACTGCACCTTTGGAAATAGAGGAGATCATTATTTTATTTTATTTTTAAAAATAATCTCCTTTTGTTGGCTGGGACTGTTTATAGCAGGATTTCCTAACCTTGGCGACTTTAAGACATGTGAACGTCAACTCCCAGAATTCCCCAGCCAGATTTGGTAGCTGGGGAATTCTGGGAATTGAAGTCCACACGTCTTAAAGTTGCCAAGGTTGGGAAACCTGGTTTGCAAAATTAGAAGCTGCGTCCAAGTTTAAGCAGGCCTCATAGTGGCCCTCAAAGGACCCAATATAGGAGACCAGCTGTCCTAAGGAATGTCTTCTATAGCAGCGGCATTTAACCTTTTGGGCACCAGGGACCGGTTCCATGGAGAGAGGTTTTTCCTCAGACGAGAGGGGGTGTGGTTTCATGTGCTGCCTGCATCCCATGGATGGAGCTTTGCTTTTTTGCACAGCCAGGTTTCTGGCATGCCACGGACCACTGCCCGCCCCTGGACCGGGGTTTGGGGACCCCTGTTCTACAGGAGACCTTTTCATGGAGGATCCACCCAAATGGCTGGCATTAGCATCCCTAAGTTTAGCTCAAGCTTATGCAGGCATCAACATATAATCTGGACCGCTGCTGATATCACAATGTTTGCAATCCCACAGACAGTTCACAATGCCCGATGGGTCAGTGGGTTTGCCCTGAAAATAGAAGTGGAGTGTGGCTCCTTAGAAGAAGCTCTCGAAGCATCAGGGTGTGGTGCTGATATTATCATGCTGGACAACTTTGCTCCTGAGGTATTTGGCTGAGAGAAGATGGGGCAGATCTAGAAACTAGAATTTATGACTGATTTTCTTTAAAAAAAAATAACAAAACAAAACTCACAATCTATGGTTTGGTTCTTTTGGATTGATTTTGGTTGAAATAGTGACGTTTGGAAGCTAAAATAGAGTTTCAAAGATTAAGAGGGCTGCTTTAAAAGCATCAGGCTCAAGATTGCATCTTCCTTCTGAAATCTTCTCCCCTCCCCAAATTACAGTATAACCAGTTGCCATTTCCTGGAAACAGGGATTAGGTTGCTGCAGGGTTTGGTTTAATTGTATTATTTATTTAGAATATGTATGTGTCACTATACATGACAGAAGTTCTTTGAAGGGTTTTACATAGTGAAACATGGCATACAAACATGTTTACAGTAAAGCTGGTTACACTCACGATGTGGGCAAAGCTTTGACGTGGATATCTTCCACCCTTGAACAAAACATGATTGGTGAAGGTTCTGCTTCTGGAGAGGTCTTCAGGACCTCAGATTACATGTGTATTAAAAAATAATAATCTTGTCTCATGTAGGACCATTCCCTCCCTTGGCTTGCACTCAGTTTGGGCCTCATATTCCATATATTCCAAACTCTGATAGATATCATCATCGTAAGACTGCAAAGGTCTCATCCTCTTGTTCATCTCTCTTACCTTCTTCTGCAGGACTTGCATCCTACAGCCAGCACCGTAAAGGCCTTATTCCCCCGTGTGACGATTGAAGCTAGTGGAGGAATCACCGAGCAGAATGTGACCTGCTTTGTGGGGCCCAATATTGATGTGATTTCCCTGGGTTGCCTCACCCAATCAGCCAAAGTGGTAGACTTCTCCCTCAAAATCAGCCGGGATCAGACTCCCAAACCATCACTGCGCAATTTTGTTTTCTGAGGCGAGACAGGACAGCCAACCAGTCCCATGAAAATCTTTGGGAGATGGGTGGTTGAACAGGTTTGAAGAGGTAACAGGGGCTGAGTTGCACCTGCTGCTTATTAACTGTGCTGATCTAGGATGATGGGAGTTGTACTCCAAAATTTCTGGAAGACAGGGGAAATTTTTTGTACAGGGTTTGCTTGGCAAAACCTCCCTAGGGATTTTTTTAAAGGATTATTTTCTTTCACAGGATCATCGGAACAGAACCAGCATCAGGGTTGAAGGGAGAGCAACTAGGTTTGCTGTCATAACTTCTTCAGCATATGTGATTTTTGACAGCAATAAAATGTACGCCATTCCCTTCCCACTTTCTCTGAATCTGTGCCTTGCATGCCTGCTGCAATCAATTTCGCTAAGCTGGCCAAATAAATCTTTTTTTAAAAAAATAGTTGCTCCATTGTCATTTGTCAAAGTTGTTGTGGCCAGCAACATTGCTGGCCACAACAACAACAACATTGTTGTGGCCAGCAACATTGCTCGTCTTCCACCCCACATTTGTCATGCATCTTTACATATGTCCAATCTCTTGAGTTGTCCAACCCAAATTGTGGTACTCTCTATCTTCATCACATCTCACCTCTTAGTCTATTGCATTCCTCAGCACTATTAACACTTTCCAGAGCAAATCACAACCAGGCTAATTGAAGGCTTCCTGGAATTTTCTTCCAGACACAATGAATTTGAGCTCACTTTAGAAAGCCTCAAATCTAATTCTCTGAAAAATCCCTCCAGTGGCTTTCTCTTCCTTGAATTTGCGGCAACCTTTGTGAAGCCAAGATCAATAAATCTTCTTGCTTTGCTACTTAAAACCCTCATTTTGCCAGTTTATGAGCGTTATAAGCATGGAGAGAAAACTTCTTATCACTTACCTTTGCTTTCATTCCCCCTAATAAGAATAATATGTAAAGTTAGAATAGAGCTACCAACAATCCAGATGCCACTTGTGATCATCCTCACCCTTTTCTGCATGTTTGGCTTAATTTTTGCAGCACCAATCCAATAGCCTGAGCTAGAATTATTCTGCATCAGACTCCTTATAAAATAGGATCCTCAGTTAATTCAAAAGCCTGTAAAATGAACCATGTTTTCTCTCATTACCTCACCCCACTCCACCTGTCACAAACAGCAGGATTGAGAAGGAAAGGAAGAGCCGGAGTGGAGAAGCAATTTCAATTTTTGTTCACCCCACTGCACTGTTGGCTTTGATTTCAAACATCGCCAACAATTACCTTCCCCCTCTTGGTAGATTATCTCCAGGGGAAAAAAATCCACAATACTTATTTTCAAAAAAAGACCTCTGAGTGAAAGGGCATGAATGGATTTAGTGAACTAACAGTTATGTAAACATGAAACTCAGCACGTGGTATAGAGCAACAGACAACACAAGTATTAATGAAGCATAATATGATGTGCAGACTTCACCAAGGATGTGGCTGGGAAAACACAGAGGGTCCTATATGGGAGCCAGGATATTAAAATAAATGTGTAAGTGAAGCACTATTAGGCCTGCTACCTGAGTTTAAAAATTTTCCGTGATTAATTAGGCTATTTTAATCAAATAATTATTTAAATTGAATTATAGATTAAAAACAACTTGTTTTGAATCCAGAAGCAGACATTCTTTTCTTTTAGATGTCTCTAGTACTAGCAACATAAGAGGTGATCTTGTCTCATTTTTTTTCACAGAAGAAGGAATGATTTTTTAAGACTGTACTTGTTATTAAGGATGTGTCTCAAAACTATTTTCTAACAATTGTACCGGACACACTAAAAAAAACCTGAGTTAATTAATTAACTAACCATCGCAGCCCTAAAAGGAAGAAAAACGATCACATTCAGAACCTGAAGCTAAATTAGTTTTAAAAATGGGAATAGGGGCATCATTCGAATCGGTGCTAACTTTTTGTGGCCTGAGCAGACAAGCAGACTGTGAAAACAAGGGCATTAGAAACAGAGCTGTCCTCATCTTTATTAAGACATTTGATGGAGCGAAGTCCCAGTTAGGTTAAGACTAGTCGTAGTGAAAAGGGTCAGTTTTGGGGGGTATATTTTTTCTCTGATAAGATAACAGATTGAGATGTTTGTTGTTTGGTTACAAAAGTGTGGATCATCAGGGACCAGCATAAATGAAATTCCCCAGCCTGGGGGTGTCTAGGTGGATCTCCCCACAAAGCAAGGGTGAAAAAAAATCAGGGTTTATTCCCCTTCCTTGTCCTCTCCATGTGTGATGACATAGCAGATGTTCTTGTAGTCAACATTGCCAGCTACATCTGGAGGGAAAGCGTGCCACATGTTCTTGATCTGCCAGAAAGAGAGAAGATTATGTTGAGAAGTGATAGAATTGCAGCTGATAACTTTCAATGTTTTCAATTGTCACTCTAAATCAGGGGTCTCCAAACTCTGCAACTTTAAGACTTGTGGACTTCAACTCCCAGAATTCCTCAGCCAGCTCCTTAGCCATGAAAGAGGATGATTGTGCCTTTTGGCAATGCTCAAGAAAAGTTATGGGTGGCTAACAAAAGAAGGATCTCTCATAAATGCTTTGTTGAATGTGCTATTCAGGATTCAGATTTCTGTTAAAGGAGAACACTATAGTTTGTCATAGGTTTCTTTCCTGGCTTGATTCTCTCAGTCTCTGATTTGCAAGTATGGTTTTGCTCACTGTGGTTAAGCTGACTTATGTGCAAATAGAATGTGAGTGTTAATATCTGTTTTTATTCTGGAGTAACAGAATAGTGCTATGCAATCCTTGGAAGAATCTTATTGAGTTGAAAAAAAGTTCAGCGTTGACTTTGGCCTCAGACTGATCTCATATATATTATCTTTTATCCTTTTGTCCTAGTTCTGCAGATTTTAGATTTAATTGTTGACAACATGGAAAAATAAAACTGAAATAAAAGATCTGGGCAAGGGGACTCTAATTGAATAAAGAAAAGAATGGGACATCTGCAGGATGCAAAGAAATTTTCTTACCTCTTCTGGAGTGAACCGGTCACACTGGGTGGTCAAGAGTTCTTCCAAACTGTAATGAGACAAGAAGAAACATGGTATGTGACAAAGGCCCTAAATATATGTGACTTCTGATCCAATTATCATCTAGGACATAATTTAATGGGAAGATGTGGGTTGCTTAAACAATCAGGAGGAATACTGCAAAGTGCTTGCAACGAGGAGATCGTGGGAACCTAGTAACAGCCATTTTAGAATTATGTCTGAACGGATTCAATGCTTCTGCTGGAAGTGAAATAGAAGGAAACACTCACAATTTCTTCTTGACATTCCCCTTCCCCTCAGGGTCCAAAACTTTGAAGGCACCAATGATGACGTCCTCGGGATCAGCACCTGATGAGATAAGACAGGAAGACTAGTGAGATGCTGGAACAGGTTATCTGTCATATAGAAGAAGACTGAGAAGAACAAGAGACTCACTCACCCTTCAGCTTCTCCCCAAACATGGTGAGGAAGACAGTGAAGTTGATGGGGCCACTGGCCTCCTTGATCATGGCATCTAACTCCTCATTCTTCACGTTCAGGCGGCCTATGCAGAAAGGAAGAAAGTTTAACTGCTGAGGATTTGATTTAAGGTAAGGTGACCAACTTTTTTACAATGAAAAGGAGGACACAAATAAATTGAAGAAAAAAATATCATAAATAAAAGAAACATTTTATTCATTGCAACAATAATACAGAATACACTATAATATGATAAATGCATAATAAAAAACAATTGTAACAATAACATTTTATATTGTAATTATGCTTACATGCCTATTAATTATTATTTAAATGAGTACTTTTCCATTGAATGAATATTTTTTGTCAATGTATCATCTTCTAACAATATACTGGAAATATCTGAACAAGAAATATCCTTCATACTGAATTTTACGGCAAGTGCTGCAGCTAGAGTATCAACATTCAATCTCGATTTCTCACTTTTCCAAAAATCATTAGCAATTGAAAAAACCCTTTCAACTGCTGCATTAGTTCCAGGGTAGCACAACGTAAATTGAACAAGAATAAATAAATTTTCACATGGAATAAGTTCATTTTTGAAATGGCTGAATATTTCCACCCATCTTTTATCAATTTCAACCTGTTCATTTTCCCATTGTATTAATTTTTCAGAATTTAAATATACATTCAGTTTTCTAATTTCTTCAAAGAGACAATTGTCGTCTATTTTAATGTCTGGCATTTCTTTAGATAAAAACTCAACACAAGATTCAATATCTGTCCAATATACTTGCGATGAAGTCAAAAAACACCATTGAAAACTGTTATTTCCTGTGATGTTTGTTTCAGACCATTCTTCAATATATTGAAAACATGTTTGGTAAAAATTCTG